TGGCTACAACAACAGGCTTGACTATACCAGAGATTGGGAAGGTGGCACCGGGTCAGGCAGAGTTCCATCCTGATGTACAGAATGTCACTTTGATTTGGAGCCAATTTAATAGCATCCGAAACAACTACAGCTCTTGACGTGGGAGACTAAGAAACACACTTTAAGGAAGTGACCGCCTCCATACATCTTATTCTCATTTCCTGGCTGCTCCCTTAGGGCTCCCAAGGGATATTCTATTTCTAACCTCTTCCTCTACCCTTCCCCTATCTTGCCACCCCCACCCCGTCCCAGAGCAATGTGTTCAGTTAAAAGACTAAGGTTGTGTTTGATTCAGGCTATGGTATTTCCAGTCACTTGCTATATGCATCTGAGAGCCAGACAATGTATAAGGATGACAGAAGAAGAACCAATTCCTTTGAGCTGTGGTGTTGGAGAAGAGCACTGACTATCACACGGATGGCCAAGAGAACATTTTCTCTTTTAAAGTGAGGCCACCATGCTCCTTGAAAGAAAGGATGGCAAACCTTTGTCTCACATATTTTGGATATGTTATTAGGAGGGACTATTCCTTGGAAAAGGACATTGTGTTCGGAAAGATGGAGGACCAGCAAGAGAGAAAGACCCTCAATGAGATGGATTGATACAGTGATGACAACAATGGGCTCAAGTATGTTAGAGATGCTGAGGATGGTACAGGATAGGACAGAGTTCAGATATGTTCATAGGGTCACTATGAATTGTACTTGATGGTGCATAACAACAATAACAACTGTTCTTATTCCCCTAGCCCATTCTGAACAAAAAAGGTTTTGTTTTCTTATTCAAAGTATGCTTGCTGGTTTTTCTTTTTCCCCTCCATAGTGATCAGAAGCATAAAAATGGTATGACACAGGTGTGTAGGGTAAGGACATAGTGGTGAAGAAAGGCACTCAGAGAGTCCCTTGCAACTTGGATTCTTATTCTCTGGGAATGCACTAAGAAGCTAAAAATGCATAGGAATCTCAAAATATTAGTAGGAGGTTTTTGAATTGTCATTCCAGAAGTGAGTTTTATTTCCAGAAGTGAGTTTTATTGCCCTCCCAGGGAGCTGTCCATTCAACCCCAATAAAAGCACCTAAACTTCTTCTGCATATAGAACCCTTCATTCAATTACCTAGAAACCAGTAGTCCTGATTTATAGCACTCGCTGATATCTATGGTATAATATTTTCACTTTGGCTAATTTTAAGTTCCCAAAGGCTTAACAACATATCAGCCAAATAAATGAAATTTTAACAATCACTCCCCTGAGAAGCTGGTGTTGGCCATCTTCAGCACATCACTCTCTGGAAGACCTCTTTAGACACTCACTAAGAACAAACAATCTCCATCGCTCTAGGCTAAGAGGCAAACATTCACAAAGTTCCTTCCTATTTCCCCTAGACCCTAAAAAATGTGTAATGTGGCAGAAATAAAACATGAGTAAGGCCCCAGTAGGGAAAAGGATGGGCAATCTCCTCCTCTGTGATTTACTGCCTCTGAAGAACCCACTGCAGGGTCAGGTGTGGGTTGGTTCAGACTCGACTGTACCCAAGAACAGTTACAACAAGGCTGGTAAGAAACTGTGCTATAATCTCAAAGGCAAACTGTTCAAATCCACTAGCTGCTTCATGGGAAAAGGACAGGCATACTTCTCTCATGCGATTAACTGCCTCTGAAAACCTGCCAGAGGGTCAGCTGTGGGTCAATTTCGACTTGATGGCACACACCACCATCAGAACAACAGGGCTGCGAAAGAGCAACACAACAATGTCAGTCTAGAGACTAAGGTGCACCTGGTCCAGACCATGGTCTTCTCAATTTGTTGCTATGCATCTGAGACCTGGACAGTGAATAAGGAAGCAGAAATAGAATCTGTGCCTTCGAGTTACGGTTCTGGAGAAAAGTATTGAGCATACCATAGACTGCCAAGAGAACAAACAAGTTTGTCCTGCAGAGAGTGAGACCAGGTGGCTCGCTGGAGACAAGGCTTTTGAAGCTCCATCCCAAACACTTTGGGCATGTGGCCAGGAGTGATCAGACCTTGGAGAAGGACATCATGCATGGAAAGGTGGAGGGACAGTGTAGGAGAGGAAGACCCAGGATGAGATGGATTGCCATAGTGATTGTGGCAATGGGGCAGGTATGTCAGAGACTGTGAGGTTGGCATAGGATATGGCCAGGTTCAGAACCATTATTCATAGGGTCGCTATGAGTCATGATCAACTTGATGGTACATGACAACAAAGGCTGCCAGATTTAGCAAATCATAAAAGCAAGAGACTTAGATCTGATGACATTTTGTAGGGAGTTGTGCTGCAAATCCAAAGGTGGCACCTCTCTGGTGGTTCAAATCCACCAGCAGCTCCACAGGAGAAAAAATAGGCATGCTTCTTCCATGCTGTTGTTGTTAGGTGCCGTTGAGTCGACTTGTAGCAATCCTATGAATAAAAGAGCTGAACTCTGTTCTATCCTGTGCCTTCCTCGCACTTCCTGATACACAAGAGCCCATTGCAGCAGTCACCGTGTCGATCCACCTGGCTGAGGGTCTTCCTCTCCTTTGCTGACCCTCCTCCCTTCCCAGAATCATGTCAGCTATAAGTTAGTTCTGCCTTGACAACAATGAATTAATTATTCTTTTACTATGACCAGTTAAAACTAAGCCTACTGCCATGGAGTTGATTCCAACTTGTATACCCAATAGGATCAAGTACAAAACTACTTCCTAGATTCCCAAGGTGGTCATTTCCTTCTCCCATGAATCAGATTGTAGGCTTGAACTGCTGGTCTTCCAATAACAACAAAATGCTTAACCACAGGACTCTTATTTTAATATAAATATGTCCCAGATATTGCATGGATGTGCTTATATTAAAATAGTGACTTGTTATTTATTTAAGATGCAAGTTTAACTCAGATGCTTGCCTTTTGTCTGGCAGTTCCAGCTCCCCCAGCATTTATTTGTGTCCAGGAAATTCTCATGTGCAGTTGGTAGTAATTAGAGGGTAGACCAGGAGCTAGAGACCCATGTCCTCAGTATCCACTGCTTGTTTAAAGTAGAAGAGTATTGGTTCCATTTAACATTTTTTTACTTCTCCAAGATTCAGAAATTCTGGAAACTAGAAGGCAACTCAAGACATTGATTGGTTCAAAGTTTTCATTTTACAGATGATGAAAATGGAGGCCTAGAGAGGTGCCTTGTTCAAGTTCATTACTAGCAGCACTGAGACTCTGGAATTTTAACCCAGTCAAGGCTTTTTTGTTTTGGGGTTTTTAATACTATCTCATCTGAGATTTAGGTTGGCTTTGCAGTTCAGAGTGAACTCTCTAGCTAGATTGCCTCAATGTGCATTCCAACACTGCGATTGTCTGGTCCCTGGGCCTTAGTATTTTGGCCTAGTCTTTTCACCTTTAAAATGAGCATTAACACACTGCAATCCCAGAGGTATGTAGTTTGAATCCACCAGATGCTCTGCTGGAGAAGGAGAGTCAATCTCCTCCTTTACCAGTCAGATCCGATTTGATGGTACACACACACAAAATAATAAAAATAATAAAGATTTTTTTTTAAAAAAAGAGCATTAACTAAATTAGTACTTCATGGAAAGGACTACTCAAATTAGTGCCTGGCAAATCACAATCACTCAATAAATGTATATTTTTTCCTGCCTCTGAAAAATGTATTCTTTTCTTAACTCTACTTGGTTCTGCCGTGTGTTTCACGGTCAGCCTCAGTCTTCCTGTTAATAACTCCTTTGACACTATCTGTTACAGTTCACTGTGATCGCACTGCCATAGCTAGACTAGGAAGTTCTAGGAGGCAGCCCCAGGAATGGCTGAGCTTTGCCCGTCCCAGGGAAGGTAGTAGGGATGGTGGAGAGAGGATGAGACTGAGTGGCAGGCAGTGTGGACAGCAAGCTCTAGAATCAGACTCTCAGCTTAAATCAGTTTCTTCCCACTGAGGACCTGATTTATGTCTCTGGGTGTCATTTTCCTTAAAGTGGCCCCATTGCTAGTCTAACTGCAGAGGACCTGTGTAAGGAGTAAACAAGCTAGCACACACCAGGCACTTCACACTGAGTTCATACACTGCCACTTTGTAGCAGTGAGACTCTGGGAAAATTCACCTCCATGGGCTGCAGTGTCTCCATCTAGAAAATGAGTACAGTCATTCCTCCTGGGGTGAGGGTGAGGAGCAAATGGGAGCCTCTGACAAGTTCCTAGTCAAGTCTGGAGACAGTGAAGCATCCTTAGCATTTCATGCCACTTGCTTGGCCAACTTCTGTCAACATTGACTTCCCTCTGGTAACTGGCATGGGAAATGAGATGAAATGCTAATTAACTGCAATAGCAGAAGTGAGCTTAGAAGTCAAGCTTTTGTTTATTCTGCTCCAACATTCCTGCATCAGTTGGCACCTGAGCCCTAGGAGCCTGCCTCTTTTTATCTGAGCGCTAGAAATGGTCTTGCTTGAGATGAAGGTTGTTTTTGTTTCATTTTGCTTTATAAACAGAAACACTCCCTGCGTTCTGTTCTAAAGGGCTGAGGAGGAAGCTGAGTCAGGCGGGGTGCGGCTGACGTGAAATCGGTCACCCTTCCCTCACCGTGAGCTTGACTTACCCAATCAATATACTTTGACTCGTATGTCAGCCACGTTTGCTATCCCATTATATGCTCATTTCTCTAATGGAATGAAAAACAACAGCCTTCCTGTGGAATGTGACAGTTTGTGTGTATTGTAAAGAGCGCAATCTCTTCTTGAAGTTGGAGTCACAGACTGGGGTTGGAATACCAGCCCAGTGCTAGGTAACTAAGGCCGTGATTGAGCAAGGTAAACGGTGGAACCGGATGTCATCCCTGAAATGGAGATGGTGCCCATCCTGGAGGATTAGAGTGAGGCTTAGTGTTAATGGATGTAAAGCCTGCGGAAAAACACAACGCAATTCAATGCACCCCAATGATGTCATGTTCTTTTCCCTTTCAGGATGATATCCCAGGTCCTGGATTCTATGACATCATTCACCAGCCTCTCGTATTCAACAGTGTCTCGTTGTCGAAGAAGGGAACGTGCACTTTTCCTTCTTTGGTGAGGGCCCTTTCTCTTGAGTCTGGTCATTAGCCTGGCCAGTAATTGTCTTCACTGCATGATCATACACTAACAGTCTGGCCCTTTCTCTCCATTGGTGCCTAATTCTAATTAGGAGAATTGCCACCTCCTCATATTCAATGCATGCAAACTGGAACTCCTATCTTTAGGTGATTTTTCTCATAGTGCCAGAATGGGGAATGAAGCTAGAAGAATATTTAGAAGTTGATTATGCAAAGCCCATTTTGACATCATTAAGGAATTTTCCTTAAGCAAGTGTTTTCCTGGAATTTTTAGTTATGCCAGTGACTAGAAAAGAATGCTGTCCTTACACGTCTTATATAAGATATAAGATCTGATTCTTACACAGGGTAAACTAACAGGTTGCTAAAATTATTGATATAACATCATTTGACAAAAAAGAGAAAAACAACAACCAAAAAACCCTCCTAAAAATCAAGCAAGGACTCAAAAGTTAGTGACTTCCTTCTCTATTCCTCTTTATATATTGGAGGAATTTCTTTTTGTTGAGTTCTCTAACAGTAAAAAAAGCCATTTGGTAACTAAGGCCATAATATATCAAGAGAAAAGAACTGTCCTGGGTGAGGTACTGTGGTAGAAACACGAAAAAGATTCCAACATTAACCAAAAGCACACGCTTTTCTGTCCCTTTAAAAGTTATAATAATCTCTTGCAAAGTTATGATGCCTCATATTGGTATTGGGTTAAAGAAACACACGAACTACACAAAGGGGCCATTTAAGACATGCTGAATGCAGCCACTTCTTGTTGGAATTCAAGTTTGGCAGAGCTGAATGCTCAAGAAAGAAACCAAGCTTGGAATTCACTCCCCATCACCAAAGAAATTGAGGTTGCACATGCCCACATAAATTCACAAAACAACCACGCCTCTCCCGCGGTCTCGGCCCCAAGCACTGCTACTAAAGACACTCAGAACAATCGGCAGGAGAAGTACCGTCTCTCCCCATGCCCTGGCACAAGCGACGAGAACTCAGACCTGCTCCTGACTCAGCTGTGGATTCTCTGTGTGACCTCCAGCACGTCACCCTTCAGTGTCCTAGTTGCCTCATAAAACACAGAGACTCCCTGGAGGCACTGGGCACATTAACGTTGCAATGGGTGAAATGCTCTTTGAAACTGCACAGCTTCGTAAACATGCTAAATATTATGATTGTTACCACCTGAGTCATGTATAATACTTCCTGCAGCAGCTAGGTTTTCTCTCCGAGAATCTCTTTGCTAAATACTGGCACTGCCCCTTCCTGCTTGGTGCCAAAAAAAGGGACTGAATCACAGCACACCATCAAATCACTATGAAACTTCATGTGTGGTAACTTTCCAAATGTCCTTCTCTTGGTGGAGGCCAGGCTGGGAGAAAAGGGGCCCAAGAGAAGAGGTGAATGTTACAGGACCCCATCAGGCCTTCCAGGTCATTAAAAACCCAGAGCAAAGCAAACAGAAGGGATACACAGAGTTCTTCGGGCTACCTCTTATTCATCTCTTACTGGTATTTTGTACTTTTATATTTATTTTTCTTTAGGGGAACACTTAGGTTCCTAGATCCTTGGACAGGGCCCATACATGGTTGATGGGAATCTGTTGGAAGGCCCCACAGCTTACCTAGCTCTCCTCTGGGTTGGATGTGAATTCCTTACCTTCATACCTCTTTCAGTGATTCCACATTTAGCATCTTCTCCACTTCAGGTGTTCAACCTCTGTAGGAGTCAAAAATAGCCCCCATGAGAGGAAAAAGTGGGGACCTCTGCCTTATTGACACTGGTGTAACCAAGAGGACTATACTTGAGGGTGAGGCTGATGCCTAAACCTCTGTGGCCCCATAAATTTTAGAAACTTCCTGGAACAGCTACACCCAGTCTTTTGAGAGGACCTGTCATCTCTCTAAATCCAAATGATAGAAAGAACCTCATTAATGTCTTTCAAATCTTCGCTCCAGATTTACTCACAAGGATTGACTGGGAAGTTAAATAGGATGGTGGAGAGGTGACTTTGGTGACCTTTCTGTGTCTGCCTGATGACAGAAGTCATTCTAGAACAGTTAGTGTGCTCGAGACAATTCCATAAGTGCCATGTAGTGAGGCTGGAGGCCATGGGTTTGGCAAACAAAAAAAGTCAAGATGGTTAGGGGAAACGGAGATTGTGGACGAGTGGGTATTACCTGAACTACATTCTGAGACTAACTCAGATTATGATGCTTCATGAAACTTTGCTGCAGCTGGGAATGTTTTAAAAAACAATGTTGCCTGTAGTCTGTTATGTTAGCAGGTGTTTCAGGCCCAAATCATTCTAATAAGTTTAGGAAAGATTAATAAAACAAAGTTAAGCAGATTATTTTAAAAGTAGAATTTAGATAATTTAATACACCAAATGTATATTATGAATCTTCAAAATGAGAATACAGTATGAGAACCTTCCTTAATTTATTTGACCCTTTGACTTTCGCCCACCCCCTGCTACCACCACCCCCACAATCCTAGCACATTGGAGAGCTGGTATGCCAGGGAACACACTTTGAGAAACAGTACTTTAGAAAATTTGGGGAATTCCCCCCCCATTTTATCTGACTCCAATACTTGCCATACTATCCTAGGGTAAAGTGATGTTATCATCTAGTTTCTATGGCTTTTGTCCCTTTTTGTTTGGCAAACATTGATTCTGTTTGTTTTTCAACTGAAAATAGTTTATCATTACTTCCTGAAAGGCATGCGCTTGGTGCTGCTGAACAGCGAAATATTCTGGGGCTTAATGAAACCAGTAAATTAAGTGGGAGGTGGGATGTGTGGGTGAACAGTAAGTTCCATGGATCCTTATACTTTTAAGATGTGCATCTAACTGTGAGAAACAAGATTTGAGACTTTTACTCAGAAGACAAGCCTCGCCTAGTTTGGAGGAAAAGGCCCGAACATTCTCTATCACTTAACTTACCCAGTAGCTGAGTCAAACATAAGGTCATAGAATAGAACAGCATTTCAGGCAAAATGACTTTGCCATGTCACAAACATATGAATAATTTGAGTTAAATTACAGAAATTAAAGCAAGACTGTACTTGCATTTTCTAAGACTAAATCCTCAAAGCCAAAGGTCAGTTTATTAGCATTGCCTCTTAGAATTTCACATTATAAAAAGCTGTTAGACTTTGTTTTGGGCATCATCTTTTTGACATCTCTCTTTCAGAGCCAAGAGATTATGTGACAATGCTGATTTCTTTGTCTGTCTTCTTACAGAGCACCCGAATGGAGAAGATAATTTCTAAATATCCTGCGTCTAATACGTACTCTGTTCCATCGTGTATTTTTGCAAAGAAAGACTTCAGTAATTCCTGTTCCAGCATGTTCCAGTTGCCAAGTTGTAACAGGGTTCTCAAATTTGAAACTCCTGCACCAAATCATTACAACGTAAGAACATAGCACGCATTCAGGGCATAGATATTGAAGAAATGGCTTACAACAAGAAGAGGAGGAGAAGGATGGGAAATAACATTTTAATGCAATTATCAAAGTTGTTGTTGTTAAGTGCTGTGGAGTCGAGTACGACTCATAGCAACCCTGTGAACAAAAGATCTGAACCCTGCTCTATCCTGTGCCGTCCTCACATTTCCTGATATACAAGAATCCATTACAGCAGTTACCTCATCAATCCACCTGGTTCAGGCTCTTCCTCACCTTCGCAGACCCTCCACCCTTCCCAGCATCATGTCTTTCTCCAAGGAATAACACCTCCTAGCAACATGTCCAAAGTATGTGAAGCAAAGCCTCACCATTCTTGCCTCCAAAGAGCACTTCAGCTGCACCCTCTCCAAGACATTTGTTTGTTCACTTGGTCATCCATGGGATGTTCAGTGCTCTTCTCCAACACCACAGCACAAACACATCAAAGTAGTTAGAACTTACTGACTACCCTGTGGGTAAAATGAAGTTTAAAGGCTGCTTATGATTTACAGAATCAAGACAGAAGTGTGTGCAATATGAAGACCTCTGTGGAATAGTGGGAATACTTACTCTAAACACTTTTGTCTTATAATTTCTAGGATGCAGTTTTCTCATCTGTAATAACGGTATATTATTATCTGTAGATACTATTCCTTGCTATGAGACTCTTCTGGAGAAATAGATGTCATCTTCCCCATCAGAAAAGAATATTTTTAAAAAACCCACAACAAGTCCATAGTAGGGCTCTGACAATTAACTGTTGCTTTGTTCTCATTGAAGCAGAATAATATAATTGATGGCTAAAAGAGAGATTTGGGAAGGTTTGATTCAAACCTTGATTCTGTTACTTTCTAACTTTGTGGCCTTGGGCAAGTCCTTTTCAGGACTCAGTTTATTAATCTGTAAATATGGGATTACCTGCCTATGTTACAATGTTAATGCAAATGTTAAATCAGATCTAGGTAGAGTATTTAGCATAACCTCTGGCACATAAGAAATACACAATAAATGGAGATTGATAGGGCCATCTTTAGACAAATTGTATTATTTTTTGAGTCTCCCTTGTAAAAGAGAATTAATAATACTTGTCCTGCAGGCTTATTATAAGAAGTAAAAGGCAAGTTCTTATCACTAGCCACAAGCTATAAGTTGTACTTAACTCTACAGCACCTAATAACAACAAGAAGCCACTAGAGCTCCCTAATGAATATGAAAGCCCCTAAAAAAATCATAAGACATGAATTATACATAAGGTATTGCTATTATTATATCATATTTAAGAATATTTTGACCTTAGAATACTTTATTTTCTATTTTCTTTTATAACTTCTCTAAATAACATTTCTTTTTAACTATAAAGACTCTTCCCTCCAATAATTTTGGTGCCTATTAGACCAATGGGAGCTCTGATGGTCTAGTGTAGGGAGTGGCCCTGGCAACTCAAAGCAGGCAGTTCTAATCCACCAGCTGCTCAGAAGGAGAAAGATAGGCAATTCCTTCCTATGCGATTTACAGCCTCTGAGGGTTAGCTATGAGTCAGTTCTTACTCAAGGACACTGAGTTAGTTTGTTGTGTTGTTAGGTGCCATCAAGTCAAGTATGACTCATAGCCACCCTATGAACAACAGACCTGGGCCCTGTCCTATCCTGTGCCATCACTCTGTCTAGCCATCTCATTGAGGGTCTTCCTCTCTTTTGTTGACCCTCTACTTTCTAAACATAATGTCACTATTTAAAGAATAGCCTCTCCTAGCACCATGCCCAAAAGTATGAGAGATGAAACTTTACTATCTTTGCCTCCAAAGCGCATTCTGGCTACACTTTTCCCAAGACATACCTGTTTGTTCTTTTGG